CATACAATCTTACAATTGGTATCAGAGCCGGTTCCTCCTATCAGGCTAACACCTAGGAAGGATCCTCATGGCGGCTACACTAAATTTTGAAGAAGGTCAATCCATATACCGCCCACCCAAGTTTGATGGAAAATGCTATTGGTGGTGGAAAGCTAGAATGCATGATTTCATCATGACTAAGGATTGTGAGCTTTGGGATGTCATCTGCGATGGTCGGTTTGTTCCAATCAAGGTAATAAATGAATTTACATTTTCGAAAAAAATAGCAATGAATACACTAAAGCAGATAAGAAAGCGGTGGAGAAGAACTTCCGTGCCAAGAAATTCTGGTATATGGTTTGGGACCTAAAGAGTATGATAGAATCTATACATGTGACACTGCCAAGGAAATATGGGAGGCTTTGCAAATAGCCTATGAGGGAACTACATAAGTAAAACAAGATAAATTTGATACTGATGATAGTTCCACAATGGCAGTTGAAGGCGAGGAGATTGGATATGATTCAACGCTTGCTTTGATGGCTAAATTAGATAATGATGAAGAAAATGGCAACGAAGAGGTAAACTTCAGGGATGTTCCGAAAAATCTAAAATCCTATTCTCCAAAAAAACTCATGTGTTTAGCTGATATTTTAATTACTGCCTTTTGTAGTCTTGCGGAGGATAGGAATTCCTTGTTCTTAGAGCTAGAAGAATCTAAACATGCTAGAGAAGACTTAGTGGCTGCAATTACTGATCAAAAGAAAACCATTGAAATTCTTAGAAAAGAAAAAAGATATCTCTTGGCCGAAACTACAAACCAAAGGGAACTAATAGTAAAGCTCAAAACTTGAATGCTCTGAAAGAGGAAAGGGGATAGTTAGTGAGGAATATTTTTGGCTTGAATATGAGGTAAAGGCCTTGAGATATAGGATGTGTGCTGAAATTGAGAAAAACGAGCTCCTCCAAGCCAATCTAGAAAAAGTAATGAATGATCTTGAAAGGTCTCTAAAGTGGACCTGGTCCTTAGAAGCTACCACTGCCTTGCTCAGTAATGACAGTGAAAAAGGGCAGGGAGCAAGGTTCCCAAGGTAGAAAACTCCTCACAACCCTCACAGTAAGAGCGCCACTACATCTGAAAATTGGCCTCATACTCAATGTGGGAACACTAGGCACTTCAAGGAAGGTGTCCAGGCCAAGAATCAATCAGTTCCAAAAGATAAAGTCGCTGCTAAAACTGTGACCACAAAAGAGGGACTAGGTTCCACTCACAAGAAACACACATTACCTGCATGGACTAAGAGAGCTCTTATTCATCCTCTTGGTTACTACAAGGGGCCCAAACTTGTTTGGGTTCCTAAAACTAACTCCTAATATTTTGTGCAGGGAACAGTGAAGGGAAGTGGTCAACAATGGTTCATTGATAGTGGGTGTTCGAAATACATGACTGGGAACACCACATACTTTCTTTCACTAAAAGCCCTACAAGGAGGGAGTGAATCCATTGGCGACGGCAAAAAGGGGTACATTCTTGGAGTTGGAAAAGTTTTTAAGTCACTCACTCACTCTATTAAAAATGTGTACTATGTCAATGGACTTAAGTACAGTCTCGTGAGTGTCTCTAAAATATGCGATAAAGGAAACAAGGTTGAATTCTTGTCCAAAAAATGTACAGTCACTGACCTTGTGACCGGTGAAATAGTTCTGGTGGCCAAAATATATAAAAACATCTATGTTGCTGATTTCAAATCCTTATAGAGTGGTGATGTGAGTTGTATGAAGGCGGTTGACGATGATGCTGAACTATGACACAAAATACTGGGCCATGCAAGACTTTCCCTTCGGAACATACTAATTCAAAAAAACATGGTCCATGGTTTGCCAATGTCGCAATTCAAAACTCAAAAATTGTGTGATGCCTGTGCTACATGAAAACATGTAAAATCTTCCTTTAAGTCAAAAAGAGATGTGAGCACCACAAAGTCGTTTGAGCTCCTGCATATGGATCTGTGTGGACCTATGAGGGTGCAAAGTAGAGGAGGAAAGAGATACATTTTCGTAATCGTGGATGACTATTTCAGATTCACATGGACTTTGTTTCTCAGAACAAAAGATGAAACTGGTGAAGTAGTTGTCGCCATTGTGAAGAAAATCCAGGTAAAGATGGAGTCTAGAGTAGTATGCATTAGATCAGATCATGGGACAAAATTTGACAATATCAAATTTGATGAATTCTGCAATGAAAACGGCATTACTAACAACTTCTCAACTCCTAGAACTACACAGCAAAATGAAGTAGTAGAAAGAAAGAACATAACTCTGGAAGAAATGGCAAGAACAATGCTGATTGACAATGGACTTGCAAAGAACTTCTGGGCTGAAGCTGTCAATACTGCCTGCTACTTACTGAAAAGGTGCATGATCAGATCAATTCTGAACAAGACCCCGTATGAATTGCTGAATGGAAGAAAACCCAAGCTGACTTACCTAAGAACATTTGGATGCAAATGCTATTTTCTCAACAATGGAAAGGATCATCTTGGTAAGTTCGATGCCAAAAGTGATGAAGGGATATTTCTTGGCTACTCTTCTCAAAGCAAGGCTTACAATATATATAACAAGAGGACTCAATGTGTTGAAGAAAGCGTCCATGTTATTTTTGATGAATCTCATCCATCATTTGAGAAGAGTGCTGAGGAAGATCAAGATGGAGAACCCTTACTTATTCCTGGTAAAGTCATTAACATGACAAACAGAAAGGCAGATATGATGAGTTAAGTGAAGGAACCAAATTAAGATAACGCTGCCTCATCATCAATAAAACCAAGCACCTCAATTACAATCATTGAAGCCGAAGAAAGAGTGGTTGATGTAGTTCAGGGAACTCCACTGGCATCTGAGAGAAGGATAGAAGAAAATTAGCCAAACATACCTACCTCCTCTCAAAATGAACCCCAGACATCTAACTGGAGACATCAAAGTTCTCACCCTATAGACAACATAATCACTCCTCTAGATTCCGGAGTTCAAACCAGGTCAAGAGCTAGAAATTCACTTGCCTTCTCAGCCTTTCTCTCCCAGATTGAAACCAAGAACATCAAGGAAGCCTTAAAAGATGCAGATTGGATTACAACCATGCAAGACGAGCTGCATCAGTTTGAGAGAAATAGTGTGTGTCACCTAGTACCCAGACCCCCAAATAGAGCCATTATAGGAACCAGTGGGTATTCAGAAACAAGCTCGATGAACATGGAATTACCACAAGGAACAAGGCCAGACTAGTGGTCCAAGGCTACAATTAGGAGAAAGGGATTGACTATGATGAAACATTTGCTCTAGTGGCTCGCATGGAAGCCATCAGAATTCGGATCGCCTTTGCTTCTCATATGGAATTTACTTTGTTCCAAATGGATGTCAAAAGTGCATTTATGAATGGACTGCTTAAGGAAGAAGTCTATGTGAAGCAACACCCTAGGTTTGAATGTCACGAGCACCCTGAATATGTGTTCAAATTGAACAAAGCTCTGTATGGGTTAAAGCAGGCTCCTCGAGTGTGGTATGAAAGATTATCAAAATTTCTCTTAGAAAATGGGTTTAAGAGAGGGAAGATTAAAAACACTCTTTTCCTAAAGAAACGAGGAAGGAACCTGCTCATTGCTCAAGTTTATGTTGATGATATCATTTTTGGAGCAACAACTGACTCTCTGTGTGAAGAATTCGCAAAACTTATGGGAAGCGAATTTTTTTTTGATCCACTTGGCAATCTCTTAGGTATAATTTTATAACTAATAAAATCATAAATAAAATACATTGTCAGGGGGTCTAACATAATGAAATACATAAACTTTGACGGTTACATGAAACCTATTATCAATATTGAGTTTGAAATTCAACATTGATATTACATTAGATCTAGCATTAGCCAAGTGCTTAAAATGTAGTCCTGCACAGTGAGCGTCCTATAATAGAGTGTATTTCGACTTTGTAAATTTATGAAAAATATATCCAAAGTCCAGTATTCAGTCCAGATTGTCTTTAACTGCATCTTGTACCTGTTGCTGCACTTACAATAATAGCGTAACTCATTGTGTATTTGTGTGAACCTTTGATTGCCATAAAAGTGTATGTCTTGTTCCATTATTGACTGCATATTACCCCATTGTGTCTCAAATTCTTCCTGCATCGAAGGTTGCCATGTTGATTCCCTCTTGAAGAACTGTTGAGCTTTTTGAGCAACATTGTTGCTCCATCCAAGCCTTTTTGCTATTAAAGAAAGCCTATTACAGATGATTTTTGTATAGGCGTGCGTTACCTTGATATGCTCCTAATGATTCCTTGTTGTGCAAAATCTCCAGCACCTCGAAAATACAAGAAGTTTTCCTTTTTTTAGTCTTCCATGGGTAATTGTAATGGCCCATGCTTTGTCCCAAACTTTAGGTGTGCAGAAAACACTGCCCAATGTTCCTTTATTTAAAGTCCCAAGTTTCATGAATCCTTTGTGGCCCCATGTTCTTGGCATGTGCAACCATGCTTCTAAGCTTTTTACTCCTATCGAGTACTTATCCTTGATCCCCTCCCTTTGTTTAACACACTTCCAGTCAAGAGAGTGCATTGGATTGGTGTAGGTTGCTGCGTTTGAAAAGTTCTTTATGATGAACTTTAATAAATCTTCATTATTTCCAGACACAACCTGCTTCTAGAACCATGCGATGCAAATATCCTTCTGTTGTATTCCTAAAGACTGGTTCCCTTTCCTGTTGTGTATTGAAGATATCCACCTACAAGTCACTTCTGCAGCATTATGGATGTTGGGTTCATCAGTGATTCTGCTACATTTGACCTCGATGTCATGTGTCCATCCTTTGTGTGTTGTTGAGTTCCCTACACTATTGGATACTTCAGGTGCTCGACTATGATGCTGCATTGGTGATTTCTTCCTCTTAGCCTTCTATTTTTCTTTAATGGATTGCCAGTTCCAATAATTGATTTTCCTCAAGCTTATGCATGTCACCTTTCCTCCTTCAAGGGATTGAGCACAAAGTACTAATACCACCCATAGAAGTCCTATTAAGTGACATGGCTTGAGCACAGTATCGATTCCTGCAAAAAAGAACCCAAGGTTAGTAAAATAACATTTGTCAACTTCTTTTCCTCCCCTAGGATTTGAAATCATCCCCTTTGCCCTTGTGTTAACCTCTCCTTCTACTACCTCGAAGCCTTTACTCTCAGAAATGGACATTGCATTTTGTCTCCATTAACTAGTCTTCTGCCTTGTGTATCCAGATGATGAAAAGAGTGTCATTCTATGACTCCTTGATCAAGAGCATAGTTTGCCAAATGATCAGCTAGCTTGTTCCCCTCTCTGAAAATATGTGTTATCCTGCCATTGCATAACATTAGCATCTACCTTATCTCTTTCACTTCCTCCTCAATAACCCAGGGTGGTTTCCACTCCCTTGTGATAACCTTCTTGAGCAGCATAGAATCAGTTTCTACCCATATGTTATTCATCTCATTAGTCAAACAATGTTTCAGGGCCTCCAAAATTGCCCTTGTTTCTGCTTGAGTGTTTGTCACCTCTTGAATTTCTTTTCCACACGCATAGACCGGATCTCCTTCCTCATTCCTAAAGCAAAAGCCAATTGAACTCCTACCTGGACTACCTCTCGAGGCCCCATCAGTGTTAATTTTTGTCCAATCTGTCATAGGGAGTTCCCATAAAACCTTGTTGAACTTTAGTTTGGGAGTGTAGTTCTCCATCATTCTAAGTATATCAGGCCATCTGAATGGTACTTGGTCAATGCCTGGCTTCCTTAGTTTAATAAGAGATTGAATAGTATTTGAGACTTGGTATACCACTCGATTGGTTGACACTGCCTCACCATGCTTGTTGTTGTTACTCCTTTTCCATAGTTCCCGCAAAATTATACTAGGAAGTGCTTGGAATATTGGTTTGAGTCTCGGAATTACCTTTGTTTTCCAGCCTGATGCAGGTTTAAGCTCTCAAGAGATAATCCAGCATGAGAATAGAAGTAAGACCAAACCTTTAAGGCTGTGAGTGACCGATAGAAAACATGGCTTAATGTGTCTTCCTTTGGCATTACACAACACCAACATTTAGATGGCATGTAGTATCCCATCCTTCTAATTACATCATCAAGTGGTAGCTTACCTTTCCACAGTTTTCACATAAAAAATGAGAACTTAAAAGGCAATCCTTTAACCCACATGTTGTCGTATGTAATAGCTGGATCTTTCCTTCTCCTCAAATATTCCCAAGCTGACTTAACCATGAATTGACCTCTTGTTTCCAAACACCAGATAGGTTTGTCCAGTTCATCATTCATCGATGGAGCTTGTATGGTGTGCATAATGTGCATAGCTAAGTCACGTGGCAATATTTCTCTGATTTTATGTTCATCCCACTCTCCTTCCACAACAACATCATTCACATTCTGGATTGTTTCATCAACTATAAACTCTGGGGGTATTACAAAGTAAAGGGCCCCCAAGCCTGTCCAATTGTCAAACCAAAATAGGGAAGATCCCATTTTTAGTTTCCAGAAAATTAGATGTTTAGTAGAGTCTCTGCATTCCAACATTTTTCTCCAAACGTGTGATCCACCTCTCCAAGGCACAACAGTTGCATGCATCTTCTTCAAATATTTTTGACTCATAAAAGAGCTACATAAAGATGGCTTAGTCCTGAAGTTCCACCATAGCTTGGAAAAGAGAGCATTTGACATATCATTTAAGGATCGATATCCCACTCCTCCTTCATGTTTAGGTAAGCATAAAGTATCCCAAGATGCCCAATGTCTAGCTCTACCATCAATAGAATTGCTCCAGTAGAATCTCGCAAATAACTTATGTAGTTTGTTAAAACATAGGCCGGTGGATTTACTGCAGAAAGTAGATGAATTGGCATGGTTTGCAACACACTGTTGATTAATACTGCCCTTCCTCCAACAGATAATAGTTTCCCTTTCCACGCTTGAAGTTTATCCAACACTTTTGATATCAAATCTTTATAATACTCCATTTTTCTCTTTTTTTAAAAAATAGGACAACCCAGATAGATGAATGGGAAATCCTTTTCCTGTATACTAGTTATTCCTTCAATCTTCCTAACAACTTCATCGCTTGTAGAATGGTGAACATAAACTGCAGATTTTGCCTTGTTGATTAGTTGTCCAGATGCTGCTTTTGTAAGCATTTAGAACTTCCATAATCAATCTTAAAGAAGTAGCATCTGAGGATGAGAAAATGATTGCATCTCTGCATAAGCAATATGGTTGATCTTAGGGCTCCACTTCGGCATTCCGAATCCACAAAAGTACAGATTATGATGTAAAGCATTTAGACCCCTTGACATTGCCTCTGCAGCCAGTATAAACAGTATAGGTGATAGAGGGTCACCCTATTTCACCCCTCTGGTTGACTTGAAAAAACCATGTGGTTGGCCATTAACTAGAACTGAATACCAATTATTTGATACAATCCCAAAAATCAATCCAATAAACCATTCAGAGAATCCCCTCTTCCTCAAGATCTTTGTGAGAATAATCCAGGAGAGTAGATCATATGCCTTCATCATGTCCAATTTTAGAACTACATTAGGGCCTGCCTTTGTCCTTAATCTAATGCCAATGATTATTTTTTGAGTTAGTAATACATTCTCAGCAATACTTCTACCTTTTACAAACCCTGCTTGCTCATCAGATATAATATTGGGAATTATATCCACTAGCCTCTCATGAATAACCCTCGATATGCTTTTGTTAGATAAATTACTCAAGCTAATTGGCCTTAAATCTGAGAAGTTCAGGACATCCTTCTTCTTAGATAGTAGGAACAAATTTGTATGAGTCACAAATTTGGGTAGTTCCTGCCCACAGAAAAAAGCCTGCACCATGTCTAGTATCTCTCCCCCAATGATTTCCCAACAAGCATGAAAGAAATTACCATTGAGGGAAGCAAATTTGAAATGAGTATGATAGGGGAATTAAACTTCTTCCTGGGTCTTCAAGTAAAACAGTCCCCAAAGGGTACTTCCATTTGTCAGCAAAAATACATTAGGGAACTCTTAAAGAGGTTTGACATGGAAGCATCAAAAGTGATAGACAGTCCCATTGCAACTGTCACTCGACTGGACATGGATAAAACTGGATCTCCTGTGAATCAAACAATGTATAGAGGCATCATTGGGTCTCTCTTTTATCTCATTGCCAGTCGACCTGATATTGTCTTCAGCGTAGGGCTGTGTGCGAGGTTTCAATCAAATCCCAAGGAATCTCACTTGAAAGCTACCAAAAGAATACTGAGATATCTCAAAGGCACGCGAGACTTGGTGCTATATTATCCATCAGGTGACAGTTTTAATCTGATTGGGTATGCTGATGCAGACTATGCAGGTTATCTTATGGACAGAAAAAGCACTTCTGGGATGGCTCACTTCTTAGGATCATGTCTTATCTATTGGTGGACAAGGAAACAAAATTCAGTGGCTCTTTCAACAGTTGAAGCTGAATATGTAGCTACAGCATCCTGTTGTGCTCAGCTTCTGTGGATCAAGCAGTAGCTGGAGGATTTTGGAGTTATCACTGAGAGTGTGACTCTCCTATGTGACAACACCAGTGCACTCAATATGGCAAAGAATCCAATTCAACATAAAAGGACCAAACATATTGATGTGAGGCATCATTTTCTGAGAGAAAATGTGGAGAAAGGGTTGATATGCATGAAGTTCTGCAGCACGGAAGATCAAATTGCAGACATTTTCACCAAGGCATTGAGTAGGAAATAGTTTGAAAGAAACAGAGTAAAGCTAGGACTGTTGAAGCCAAATTAAGAACCTAATTCCTCTTTAGCTGGCTCGTATTCTTAAGAAATAATTAGTTCAAAGAGTTTTTGGCCATGTCTAACTCACTTCAATACTGTTGCAGGTAGACACACATGATAAGAATAGAAGCAGTAGATGCAGTACATGACTGATAAAAGAGGATCAATACTTTTCAAAAACGGTTTGAAGAAAATGTTTTTTCAAGAACCAGGTTCTTGTACTAAAGGTTAGTAGTTCTGTGCATCCTTTAATACACATCTTAAAAGGTACAAAATACAACTGCCATGTCATCAACTTTTTCGATCCGGCTGTCACGTCTCTTCAATTCAAAACGTTCCATCTCCCTCTGAAATATCACAATTCTCCACGCCCAACTGTCGTTTCAGAACCGGTGCCTATTCTTCTCCCTTCGTAATTATCCTCTCCGTTAAAAAAACCCTCTCTTATGTCCTTCTTAACCATAGGCCATATTCTAGATTCACCCAAAAGGAAAGGATCATCACACCACCTCTTCCAATGGCTGAGAAAACTTCCGATCTCTCTGCCTCAACTGTAATCACCTCTGACCCATCTATGGAAGCTCTCGCCTTCACTGAGTCTTTGTCACCCTCTATCACTCCTACTGCTACAGTCACACTTTCCCTAGTTTCCCAACCTCTTCCCAACTCAGAAACCCTTGAAATTACTGTTCCGTTCTTTCCATCGTCTATTGCCCATACCAGTCAAACCCTAAATGGAGAACAAGGTCAAAATACTAAGTTCACAAAAGGCTCCGCCATCGGTACCGTCGACTCCATGGTTGTGGAAGCACCGGTTGAAGAAGAAAAGACTGTGTTTGTGGTATCCGCTGATGGGGTATTGCATGAACTTATTTCCCAGAAACATGAGTCACAAAGCATGTGGGTAGAAGGGGCCATTATGGCTATTTAAAGGGATGCAGTAGTATACATTACTGGGGCATAACATGAGGAACCTGATCCCTCTCCGGAGGAGCCAGGTCAGGACTCTCATCCCCAGGACAATGCTATTCCTGCATTAGATGTTGTTCCCCTGTGAATTCAAGCACCAGAAATGCGATGTGGTGATAAAGAAGACGTGGACAACGTGGCCCTTGATGCATTCATAAGTAAGCAAAGAGTTGTCTCCACCCCTGAGTATGAAATTAAGCGGCGGACTACCAGGCTTCAAGTCAAAGTGGCCTACGACTCTGCACTCCAAAAGATCAAGAAAATTAGTAAGAAGAAAAGAAGAAAGTTGGTGAAGGATGGTGTACCTATAAGTGATGAAGCTATTCCTGTAGTGGAGGTGGAAGAAGGAACTCCTAAGGAACCAGGTTCCCTTGTAAGGCAGTCCTCGAAAAAGGCTGAGTCTGTTTCAATAGAGAAAGGGTCTACTTTTAAGTCCAAGTTGAAGGAGGCAGTGAGTGATGACGATATTCTTCTCAAGTCCAAGGGGAAAGGCAAAGTTAGTGGAGAAAAGCATAGGAAACGCAAGTCTGAAACAGTTGAAGAACCTAGTTCTGGAATGAAAGCAAGAAGTGAGGTCTGCCTTGGCTTTGAGCACCTAAGGCATCAAAAAGTTCTGCTAGGTCGTACGTTTGACCCAACAATCTCGGAGATGGCCGGAATGCGCCAAATTCTGGAAATGGTGGAGTTTCAACCATGGATGCGTCTATTCTATATTGATTCCCCTAAAGCGTATGAGGAGGAGGTACAGAGTTTTTTCGCCAGTCTTTTTCCAGTCGATACTGACCATGTTTATGCGTTGGTCAATGGGGTGGACATTGTCTTTGACGTGAAATTGCTTGGAGAAATTTTGCGAGTTCCTACAGTTGGGGTGTCGAGTGTACGAGATGTCTGTCAGTACAACTTTAGAAATGTAGTGATGAAAGATAATTCTAATCAGAAAGGGGACCAGATCCATAAGAAAGCACTACTCCCTATCTACCAGCTGTTGTTTGAGCTGGTTAACAAAGTCTTGTTGCCTCAAGCAGAAAGGAGGTTTGTAAATTCAAAATCTGATCTATACCTAATGGAGCAACTGGACGGTTTCAACCCTGTGAGTCTGCCTGCCATAATGATTGAACACATACAGAAGGTGGCCAATTTCAAGGATGGTAATCACGGGCTTCCCTGTGGATTCTTGCTCACTCACGTGTTCAAATTCTTTGAGGTTCCACTAGGAACAGGTAAAGTGGGGTCCCGTAACCAGACATTCTCTCAGACAACCTTGGAAGAGTGCAAGTGTATTGAGAAGTATGGGGGTGTAGGAAGTACTTCAACTATGTGTCAGCTCATCAATGCCCAGAACAGTGCAGCTGAGAAATACGTCGATTGAAGGCCAGGAATGCTATCCTGGAAGGTCAGCAAGCCCGAGGGTTTCCCATGTCAAATGATGAGGTGATCCGTTTGACCCAAGAAATGCTGATCTCAGGGCGAAACCTGAAGGCTGAACTGCTCAATGAGCAAAATTCGGAAAATGCCCAAAGAGACCTTGTTCTCCAGAAACTTGCTGCAGCTTCCAAGCCTTTTCCTCCTAGTGCCCCCTAAGAACCCCTTCAGTTCCCAGTATTCTGGATATGTTTCTTCTTCTTTGTCTCCTTGTTGATGGTTGGTGGATGTTTTTTTTGCTCTTTTATGGTTGGGATGTACTACTACTACTGTTGTGAACAAGTCCAATGTAAACTCTTCCTTTTTTCAAAGGACAAGGCATATTAAAAATTATTAATATGAATCTTTTTTCTTATGTCTCGTACTGTCTCTATGTGTTCTATTCTTTCTCATGATTGTGTGCACATATGTGGCATGAGTTAGCTTAGCTGGACTTCTTTGTGATGTTATTCTTTTTAATGATGCCAAAAAGGGGAAATTACACATTGGGGAACTAGTTCTTATGCTCTATTATTCTTTAAGACAAGGCATAGTCTCAGGGTGAACTCTTTGAAACTGGTTGTTTGGTTTCTACTGTCCCAATTTCGATTTATAATTGTTGAAGTTTGTCATCACCAAAAAGGGGGAAATTGATAGATCTTAAATGCTCTTGCCTGATGTTTTGATGATCTAACAAACTTTTGACTAAGAACCAGATAGGGAACCTGACCTACTTGGATTACTGCAATCGTTAACAGATTTTAGCTAAAGATGAATTGCAACAGCTTCAGGAACTAGGAACCAAACAAGGACCGGATGCTTTTGTGGTTTCCTTATAGCAGTACAAAGTCATTTGGACACAGCTGGAAATGAAGTGACCGACGACACTGTTTCTGCCGTACTACACTACTGTCAGCCCACTCACTCTCTGACCAAACAAAGTACTCACTTCATTTCAATTCATGTGATCAAGATGTACCAAATGTGCTTTATACAAAAATATCACTGGAAGGTTTCTGTTTCTTATTCAAGCCTCTTGCAAAACCAGAAAAAATCATCCGCTCAAGCTTGAAGAACAAGGGTGAACGCCACTACGGACCAGTTCCTAAAAGATTGATGCTTGATGTCCTAGTTGAGTTGTAACCTTGTTATTGTACTTACAATATCTCTTAAATCGCTTATCTAGAAACATACTGATTAGGAATCCTCTTGTAAATCCGTAAACTCGTTGAGTTTATGTTGTGACTAGATTTAGTCATAAGGAAAAGTCTTTGTAATCGTAGAATTACAAAGTGGATTGTGGTGATAGCATCACAAGTTAGAAAAAGCCTTTGTAACTAGGATAGTCACAAAGTTGCTTGTGGTAAAGGTACCACAAGTTATTTGAGTAAATTCTTTGCAATAGGAAATATTGTAAAGTGGCTTGTAATAGGTAAGATTACAAGTTAGTGAAGTTAAAAGCCTGCAAGGTAGGTCGTGATATTTTGATCCCTTTGTGTGAGATTTATCCATGTAAAAATCCTCTGCCTCATTTACTTACTGCTTTACTAAGTGCTCTCAGCAGAATCTTGTAGAGGACCAGGTACTCTACGATTTGGTAGATCCATACAATTTAACACTACTGCTTGCAGAGTTTGCTTATAACGACAGCTACCAGTCGAGTATTCAGATGGCTCCATATGAGGCTTTGTATAGGAGGCGGTGTAGGTCTCCAGTTGGTTAGTTCGAGCCCGGTGAGGCCAAGCTATTGGGGACAGACTTGGTGCAGGATGCTTTAGAAAAGGTGAAGGTAATTCATGAGAGGATTCGTAGAGCGCAGTCGAGGCAAAAGAGTTATGCTGAGAATGTTCTGTTCATGGTTTCACCCATGAATGGTGTTCTGAGATTTGGGAAGAAAGGTAAATTGAGTCCTCGGTTCATTGGGCCTTTTGAGGTGCCTCGGAGGATTGGGGAGGTGGCTTATGAGCTTCTTTGCCACCCAGCTTGTCGAGTGTGCATCCGGTATTTCATGTTTATATGCTCCAGAAGTATATTGGGGATCTGTCTTATGTTCTGGATTTCAACACGGTTCAGTTAGATAATGATATGACCTGTGATGTGGAGCCAGTAGCTATTTTGGGTCGTCAGGTTTGAAAGTTGAGATCAAAGGATATAGCTTCAGTGAAGATGCAGTGGAAAGGTTGGCTCGTGGAGGAGGCTACCTAGGAGACCGAGCAGGAGATGCAGAGCAGATATCCTCGTTTTAGGACAAACATTTATTTAAGAGGGGGGAGTATGTAACGACCCGGCCTATCATTTCATGAGTTACTACTCTGTTTCCCCCATTTATGCTTCTTATTGCTTTGTCTATCGGTTCTATATATTATCAGG